TCCCACTGGCCCCACGGGCGAGTCCTCAGACCTTTCTGGCCCCTATTTCTCCTACTGTAAACTGAAAGCCAAGAGCCCCACGCCTCAAACACGTACGTGTAGACCATTGATCTCTGTGAAGTTTTGGGCAACACAATAAGTTAAACACTGTCCCACTTGGAATCCACAGAGTTTAAGGTCTGCCAGTCAAAGGGAACAAACCCCAAGTCACACCAAAGCACACAAACATCTCGACAGTACTACTGTGAGAGTGCGGAACGTTCACGGGCACCGTGTGCCAGGGCTCCTTCTAAAGATCAGCCACGAGACTCCTTTAACAGCTGCACGTGACAGGAACTTTATCGCTGGGCCCATTCTGAATGGGGAAACTAAGGCCCGGTGAAGTCAACTAGGTGAGGGTCACACGGATGGAAGCGGTAGCTACAGTCCTGGAGCGGCTCTGCCGTTAATACTGTCCTGCCTTCCAACTGGCCGTGAACCTCGAACAGTCTGTAGAACTTCGTATTTTACTTAATTTTTCTCAAGAGCCATTTCAGAGTTTCAGCGTACAGGGCAGTTGAGTGCTGGGCCGTATTAGGATTTATATTATATTAGGTCATAGTTACTGAAGACCCTCCCTGTCTTGTAAGGGGGCGGGGCTCTTGGAGCCCTTGCAAGGTGACAAGGTACAAGGTGCAAACAGCGCGTGGCTGGGACAGCAGCCTCTACTCTGCTCTCCTGCTGGCGCTCAGCCACTCTATTCTTCCTGCTCCAGAGCAAGCCAAGCCCATCAATCAAAGAACAGCGAATCAACTCCAAAGAATACAGAACAGCAGCAATAAATAGGTGCGCCGTGCTTCCTGTGACCTTTAAACTGATTACAGCCCTGATTGAGTCCCAGTTCTGAACTGAAATGGCAGCTGGGCGAAAGAAAGGCCGGGGCTGAGCCAGCCGGACAGGAGTAATTGCTCAAGTCCCTCCCTCCCTCATTTGCCCTCCCCCCCTTCCCTACCCTCTCCCCTTACGGCCTTCCTTTCCTTTTCTCCTTTTCTTTCTTTTTTCCGTGTGTGTGTGTGTGTGTGTGTGTGTGTGTGTGTGTGTGTGTGTGTGTACATGTGTGTGTGTACATGTGTGTGTATGTGTGATACACATGTTCCTATGGATGTGTACACATCTGTGCTCATGCATGTGGAGGTCAGGTGTAAATGTTGGGTCTCTTCCTCAGCCACTTCTTCACCTTGTTTACTGAAATAGTCTCTCACTGAACCAGAGTCCACCGACTAGACTGGACCGTCTCACCAGCAGGCTGCAGAGACCCCGGCTGCCCCCCACCCTGTAGTCTTGGTACTCGGGTGCTGGGGAATCCAATTCAGGTCTCCATGCGTACATCGCAAGCACTTCACTGACTGAACCTGTGCCAGCCCCGCCTCCCAATTCTCTTTTATTTTTAAACTTTAACATTCTATATTCACAGTAGGGAAAACAGAAAAACAATTGCCCAAAAAGGGAAGAAAACAAATATCCCACCGTGATTAATATGCTGGTATTCATTCTCATATGTTTTTTTCCCAATACAAAAAAATAGATAAAGAAGAGGATTTAGTACTACAACGGACTGGTTCACAGACGCCCCACCATCTGCCACCTGCAAGCAGGGGAGGAGTGTGGAGGGCTGCTGTGTGTGTGTTAATATGCCCACACACGTGGGGAGGCGGACCAGAGGCTTGAGGGCTGGAGAGCCCACTGTGTCTGGTTCAGCCCACATCTGAGGCCCGAGGCCCAGGAGGCCCAGAGGAGAGGCAGGAGGAGAGCAGTGCTCTGCGTATACAGGCGAGTAATTCAGCCTTCCTCGCCCCTTATCCTATTCGGGGCCTCGCCAATGGAGAGGGCAGCCATCTGTTCAGCCTACCAGTGTCTAGAAACACCCTCACAGCTATACCCAGAAATAGTACTCACCAACTGAGCATCCCCTGGCCCAGCCAAACTGACACATGGAATTGCCCATAACGAAAAGGAAGGTGGAAACAAACCCACTGAGGTTCAGACACGCAGCAGGAGTTGGGGAGGGTGATTATCTGCGCACCCTGCGTTAACACCGTTCCCCAAATCACAGCTTGATAGCTAGAAAATAAAAGCCCTCAGATACAAGATGACACAGAATCCTCAAGGGAGGAAAATGGCCACGTGAATTACATCCTGTGGACTCTGTAGCTGCCAAGCAGGACACGGACACACACACACACACACACACACACACACACACACACACACACACACACGCACGCACGCACGCACGCGCACACACACACGCACATGGGTATGGGTTCTGCAGGCCTCCGGGAGTTTCCCTCTAGAGCTCAGGTGAAGGAACAGCCAGAATAAGCGTGGGCTGTGGAGCCCGCCACTCACATTTCTGCTCTTGTTTGGCCCAGAAGATCTTCACACGCTGGCGGATGTGCTTGTCCTCACGAAGCTTCTTCTGCCACTGCCGCAGCTCCTGAATCTCAGGGTCACAGCGAACCTGGGAAAGGACACAAAGCTTAGCCAGGCCCCCTTCCCCACACCTCCACACATACCCTTAACAAGTCTTCATGGAAAAGCCTTCAGAACCGACCGAATGTACTGTAACTTTTTATAACTCTCTTGCACACGGGGCTCAAACTGAGAGCCTCATACATGCTAGGCGAGTGCTCTACCACCCAGCTACACCACGGCCCTAGTTTGATGTACTTTTGATTCTTAGAAAACACTGTTCTCGGTAAGTTATCTACACTCCAAAAGTTTGTTTCATACGTGAGCACAAATAAGATTGTGAGGATATGCCATGCTAATGGTATGTTGAGAATATTCTAGATTTGGGTTGTCCCATATTACTATAATGTGCAATTTTAAGTTTTCTCCATCTCATTTGAAAAAAAAAAGAAAGAAGCAGGCAAGGATGTTTTAGATAATATATCTTATTTAACCTAGATAATTAATATCATTAATACTTACTTATTGATATCCAAAAATCTTGTCATTTCAACATGTAATTAATACAAAAATTATTTATGGTAGGCACATGTCTCTAATCTCAGCACTTTGGGAAGTTGAAGCAGGAAAATTTTGAATTCAAGACCAGAATGAGCTACACATCAAGACTCTCTTCCAGGTCCATTTCATCGCCCTTGACAGGGTGTCTTCTTCCTTCTACATGTGTTCTATCTGCTATTGAGCTATAACCGGCAAACCCTGGCTGCACCCAGCACCTGATGAACCAGATGTGAGAGCAGATTCCAGGAATCCCAGCACTCAGGAGGTAGAGGCAAGAGGATAAGGAATTCAAGGTCATCTTCCAACCACACAGAGAATTTTGAGTCTAGCATGGGATCCAAAAGACCATCATTCATTCTATTGAGGTAGGAATGATTGGGCCCATTCTAAAGATGAGAAAACCACAATGAAGAGAGCAGATGGAGTTCCAGGAGAGGGTGCCAGGGGAGAGATATGATGGTATGACGCAGTACTGTGTGACCCAGTAGACTCAGAAGCATAGCCCCTCACCCCCTTCTCCATCCTGAGGCCTCCTTCTATCACCCGCTTGCTGGAGGGACTGTTCAGCAGAAAGTTGACTCCAAGCCTAAGTGGGTAACTACATGTCCAGTTTATTCTGAAAAAGAAGTTAAAGTCACTGAATAGACAAGGAACAACCACCATGTCCAAGGAAGTTGTCATGGTAACACTTACACAGCTCTTGGAATTAACTATCAAAGATGACCACTTTGTGGGTTCCCTTTCACAGTCAGCTCCATTCATTAAAATGCAGCCTAGTTTTATAATCTGGGGAATAGTTCTCTGTATTAGAATTAGTATGAGAATCTGGGGAAGCCACACACTAGATGCCAAGGTCAGTGGCCTCCCAGTCAGTGGCCACACCTATCTTTCCAGGGTTCCCATGTGCCCAAGGGGCAGTGTTCTTGTCCTGGTCTTCTAGAACCCATAACCTTGACTTGCTGTCACTGGACAGGAACAGGTGGGGCGAGGCAGGACAATCAGGAGCTGCAGTGGGAACCTCAGGCACAGGCGAGACCCAGTGGGTGCAGGAAACAAACAGAGGCAGCTCGGGGAGAGGTCCAAAGGGGAGCTTCTCCCCAAGCCTGCTGGCAGGGCCATCCTGTGGAGGACACCTCGGTAAGTGTCCATCAGCTTATTCAAGCCACCGCTGGATCTTAAGACTTCCCACCCAGTCACAGCAACTGTCATTAAAGCCACCTACCCATCTGCCTCCCCCCAGGGCACAAATGGTCCCTGAAAGGACTGGGCTGAGTCAGGTTTGGCCATCAGATCCCTCCCAGCCCTACAGCCAATCTTCCCTTCTCTGTTCCCCCTTTCTGTGCAAGGCCCACCTCTTGTCATCTCTTGGCAGTTTTATTTTAGGGGAGGTGTGTTGCCGTTGCTCTCCTGGGAATGTCTATGAGTTATCACAGCCCTGATGGTTGTCGTTTTTACTTGACTGTGGTAAAACACACACAATATAAATACTACATTTTAACTTCAGTGGTGCTAAGTTCGTTCAGAACACCGTGAGACCGCCTCCACTCATCGAATTCCAGAACATTCTTATTGCCTCAAAAGGAAATTCTGTACCCACTAATCAGTACTTCCCTATTCTCCATTCTCCCTAGCCCAGCCACTCATCTGTTTTAGAGTATCTGTGGATTTCCCTATCTGGGGTATTTCACATGACTGCAATCATTTGCAATCATTGTGTCTGGATTCTTCACTCATACAGAGCTTCACGATTTATCCCACTTCTTTGCTGCATAGCCTGCCACTGGGGAGCTAGACAACAGTGTGATTTATCGACCTGTCTCCTCATGGACACTGGAGTCATTGCCACCTTTTACTATTGTGAACAGAGTTCTGTGAACACCTGCCCACGCCACATTTCCTTAAATATTTACTTCCCTATAGTTGTTTGTCGATGACATACATCACAAACAGAAACACCTGTCTGGCCACCCTTCCAAAGGCTGCATTTGTCCACAGGGCTCGGCTGACAGTACCGTGTGGTCTCCTGCGTCGGGCCAGAGACCTTTTTCCTTGACCTTCTTCATTTTGTCCTGGGTGCCATTCACCTTGGCAGAACGCAGCAGCACCAGGCTTGTTGGTGGTTCTCTCATTGCCAGGAGACCCTGGAGCACTAGAGAAGGCTTTTGTGAGCTGGGGAGAGCAGGCACCCATTGACCGGCTAATCCCCCTGACTATTGTCACCGTTAGGAAAGCACTTTAAATGGCAGGAGTTGTGCTCATCAGCAAATTCCAGAGTGCAGCGTGGAATCAACATGCAGCGGGTTCCCTTCCCGTGGCTTCCCACCACTTCGCCACTTGGTTTTTGAAGTCACCATGAGATTCTGCTTGCTCTTCTGGTGTGCACAAGAATATGACCGATGCTATGGACTTGACTTTGGTGCACAAATAAAACAGGAGCTTCTTGATGCAGGTGTCCGTTTTTATTTGTTGTGATTTATTTAGGTATAGTTATTTATTTTGCCTTGTTAGGGACCAAAGGCAGGACTTGGCGCATGCTAGGCCAGTGTTCTACCATCGCTGCATGGCCAGTCTGGCTGTCAACTTTTTTTAATACCCCTGAGACTTTCAAATTCTTCCAATTCTGTATGACTCTGGTGAAAGGCATTCAGAGAACCATGTCAGTCTATAAAGCCAGCTCTGGGCTGTGGAGATGGCTCTGTGGGTAATGCACTTGCCATGCGAGCATGAGGACCTGGGTTCAAATCCTCAGAACCCATGTAAAGCCTGGTGTAGTGGTATTTGCTTCCGCCCATGACCTTGGGCTATACGGCCCAAAGGAGGTGGCGCTTCCTGCCATTGTATGTGACCTCTTACAAGGTGTAGAAGGGTCACATGTCCTGCTCCCTGCTCCTGCTTACAGGTGGATTCGCTCCTGTCAGGTCAGAGGATGACTTCAGCTGTCTACTCCATTCTTGTGAGTGTATTTCCTCAATTTATATCTTAATAAATTCTGTTACTCATTTAATAGACTCATATGGATTGATCATAATAGCCTGGCATGGCCACACCTACCTATAACCCCAGTACTCCTACAAGATAGGAGTCAGTGACAGCAGAGTCCTTGGAAGCTGACATACCAGACCCTGGCACACACAGCAGCAAACAATAAGAGATCTGTTTTAAACAGGAAAGCAAGGAGTAACACTGGAGGGTGTCCTCTGACCACTACAGGAGCACTGTGACATCCCCCCACCCCCACCATATGGACAGACATACACATCATATACACAAACAATGGGAAAGGGAGGGGGAAGGAGACTCTAAACCTGACAGTCCGAGACTGAATCTCAGCTCTGCACAGCCTTGAGTAAGTTGCTTAGGCCCTCAGAGCCTCAGTTTCTTAATCTGTAAAATGGAGTTGGTGCTGGGCAGTGGTGGTACACACCTTTAATCCCAGCACTCAGGGGGCAGAGGCAGGCAGATCTCTGTGAGTTCAAGGCCAGACTGGTCTACAGAGAAAGTTCCAGGAAAGGTGCAAAGCTACACAGAGAAACCCTGTCTTGAAACAAACAAACAAACAAACAAACAAACAAAACCACAAATGGAGCTGGCACAAAAGCAACGCCTGAAGTGCTAATAAAAACATGTCTATGGAAGCTCTCTTTGTGTTACCCATTCTTAAAACCAACTAGTAAAGACAAGAGTGGATTCATCTGATGCTGAATCCTCTAATTGCCTTGAATGCTCCAAATCAAGTGGCTGAGGAGCCAGTGACTCAGTTAAAAGTGTGGTCTTCTCCCCGGGGTTCACAAAGCGCTGAGCACGTACATGATTTTGTAATTTCATAACTCTGGGCTCTGGCCAGCTTGAACAGAGGTTCTGGGGTTGTGTGGGGTGGGTGACGGCAGGGGAGGAAAGCAGAGGTTGCTGGGACTCTGCCCTTCCTAATCTCTACTTCCCAACTGCTCTTAGCTCACTTGTTTTCCCTGCTTCTTGGCCAAACAGACACTCACATAGCAACAGCTGCCATCCCTTATTCCCTCAAGCTTTCCTAATTGCCTCGAAGGAAAGTGCTTAATCCATTACAGCCGCTGGAAGGACGCTGGAGAAGTGACAGGATGGACGACGGGCCCTTCAATGACGCTCACAAGTGCCAGCCCTGGAGTTGGCATGAGGATGTCTCCCAGTAGGTTCTTAGGATGTCTTTGCCATGGCTGACATCCCAATGGTTATGCGAACGGACTTTACATTCGAAAGACCGGTTTCCACACGTGGAAGAGAGGGGCGGGGGTTGGGGGAAGATGTTTGCAAAACTCTTTTCCACTACCCAATAAAAGTCCCAGAGCGCATAGCTAGCAAGTTCCACTTTCTCTTTGGAAGGAAGCTTGGAGAGTTCTTTTCAGATCTTCGGCAAAACCAAGCCAAAGCAGAGCAAAGTCGGCTGCTTGTTCTAGAAGTCGCTGGTGTTCCCTTTGGTCTCAGGAGCTGTGTGTCTAGTGGCAGGCCTGG